TATCTATCTATCTATCTATCTATCTATCTATCTATCTATCTATCTATCTATCTATCTATCTATCTATCTATCTATCTATCTATCTATCTATCTATCTATCTATCTATCTATCTATCTCTAATTCTATAGAATTAAAGGCTAAGTCAACATAAGCCTGTTGGTATCTTACTTTTGTCTCCTTTTTTTTATTTGATTCCTTCTCTCTTTTCCAGACTCCCCCAGTTCAAAGAAGAGGCCAAAAGTTATGTCGGTGCCAACATGAAGAAGGTAACATGACTGAAACGCCGCATGCCTTTTGGCTTCAGCCTGTTTGTGAGCACCGTGCGTTGTTTTAGCCACCGTGTGCACGTTTCCCACACATCGATGGGTCTAGGTTAAACTCCAGCTGTAGATTTAAATCAACGTAGAGCTTCCCAGTTGGAACATTCCAAATTCAATTCAATTCAATTTTATTTCTATAGCGCCACATCACAACAACAGTTGTCTCACAGCTTTCCAAACAGAGCAGGTCAGACCTACTCTGAAGTTAATTACAGAAACCCAACAATTCCCACCATGAGCAAGCACTAGGCGACACAGGCAAGGAACAACTGCCTTTAACAGGCAGAAACCTGGAGCAGAACCATGGCTCAAATGCGTTCATAATGCAGGTGATCCCATTTTTAAATGGCTGCAAGGAGTCAATTGTTTGCAGACACATCGACTCATTGACACTGTATCCTTCAGAGGCTAAAAGTGGCTGTTTGGTCACATTTTAACTGTTGCAAACCACATACAGTGGGGGAAATAAGTATTTGAGCCCTTGCTGATTTTGCAGGTTTGCCCACTTACAAAGAATGCTTATTTTTCCTCATCAGATGGTTATCGATTTTTATAAATTCATATGATGTGATTTTCTGGAATTTTCTTTGGGATTCTGTCTTTCACTGTTAGAATGTACATATGATTAAAGTTATAGATCGTTGCATTCTTTGTAAGTGGGCAAACCTGCTAAATCAGCAAGGGCTCAAACACTTATTTCCCACACTGAATGCTATTCACCTGCCTTAGTTCAGAAGAAGCATCTTCCAGATTGCTGTCTTCTATGAACAGTAGCAGCCGTTTTTACGGTTTTCAGTGGTGGGAATGTATGGAATAACACACACACACACAAATACAACTATGCAGCACTGTTTTAAAGTTGAAGTTTTAGCAGAGCCGTTCCTCATGACTGTAATGTAAAGCATATATCACATAGTGACTCTTTGAATAAATGTTTACTTGGCTACTGTAACAATACTCCGGACATAGAAACAAAGGGCTGTAGGCAAAGGGTCAATATCATGAGATCTGAATGAAATCCGACACTTCTCCGCGGCCTGGACGATGCGAGATAACAAAAAGTGTGTTTAAAGGAGGGATTTTGTGTCCTGTAATGGGCAGCTGACACAGTTTGGTGAGGTCACCGTGCCCCAGATGCACAGGACAGGCAGTTCTCATGCCTTTAAACCCTCGTTATGGGACTTTACTTTTGTGATTGGTTGATCATTACACACTAGCACACACGGTAAACTAAACTAAACTAAACAAGCCTCTCAGCCCAACTGCTTCTTGTTCAAATGAGCAGAAAAGGAGATACGGGACTCAGACAAAGGAAATGCATGTAGAGTTCAGTCCCAGATTTGGCTCCACGCTGTCTAAAGTATTGGGTGTCAGGGTAGGGTTGTCAAAAGTATCGATACTCAAAAAAGAATGGATATTAAAATGTTGTATCCGTATATGATACTCATTTTCAAAAGTATTGATACCACCCCCCTTCTCTCTGATTTATTTATGTATTTATTTACGTTGTTTATGATCATGAACAAGACGTTAGCCTTGAACTGCTAGCTTCGGCTAATGGCTAATAATAACATGCTACCATTAATCAAGTACATATCTAACTCCGCCCACATCCAAGTCACCAATAGGAAGATCCCAGGCAAGAAAATGGTAATGCCTCATGGCAATAAAGACATTGATTTAAAAATAGTGAAATTAATCTTTCGAACACTTAATTAAACTATATCCATAATATTATGTTAAAATAGTGTAATGTTAAATAGGTTTGTAGAATAATTCCAAACAAGTTTAGCCAAAATTTTTTATTTTTTAACAATTATGAAGGCTGTAGGGTCAGGGTTAGGGTTAGGATTAGGGTTATTAATGCGGGCCACCAGTCACAATAACATCAGTAACAGGTCAGTTTGAAATGAAAAACACTAACCTGTCAAAATTCAGTTACATTTTGGGGTCTTTGTTTTTATCCTTGTGGTATGGAAAATGGTATCGAGTATTTTCCTGAGTATCGGTATCCAGTTGAAAATATTAGTATCGTGACAACCCTAGTCAGGGTCCAGCAGTGTGTTGCTTGCTGCATGTTTTTGTCATTCCACCTGTTCACGCCCGTAGTTTTCCCTTCTCCCCGTGCATGAATGTGTGTTTCGGCCCCGTTTGGCGTTCTCGATCACTAATCATGTGTGCCTGCACCCTCCCCTTTCTCTCTGAGGCTTACAATATCTTGTGGAAAAACAAACGTGTGCAGGTAAGAACGGCGACTGTAAAATCTGGTAAACCGGAGAATCTAATCATTAAGACCCTGGCTATAAATTGTGAGAAAACCCTGGCTATAAATTGTGAGCAAACCCTGGATGTGGCACCCTTTACATGCTTGTTTAAAAAGAACGAAACACTACTTTTTCTTCATTAAATGACTGAAGAAAACATGCATTTTGCATAAAAAAGCAGCTGGAAACATTTGTGTGTTCTTATATATTATTCCTCCACTTGTTTTTTTTTTTATAGACCAAAGCAGAGTCAAACTGTTTTTTATGTGTTGGTTATATACGCTTTGACTTTAATATTAAATATGATGCTCCCAGGATCCAATATACAAGTTTAACGTGACAAATTAGCATAGAAACACTTTGAAAATACCTATAAAGCACAGAAATATTTCCTTTTAAATCACACTTCTAATCAAACTTATGAAGTTGTGATTGAAGCTGAACAGATTAAGTTGTTTTAAAACTTTAAAACTTTCCAACATAGCATGGCTGTCTTTTTTAAAATACTTTTACATAACATTTCCTGACAGAAATTGAGATAAAAGACATCACAATAAACATCCTACATAAAAAAGATTATAAATGAAATTACTATTATTTTTTCCCAGCGTTTTCTGTAACAAAAAGTACATTTCCTTTTAGATCACACTTCTTATCAAAGTTATTAAGTTGTGATTGAAGCTGAACAGATTAAGTTGTTTTAAAACTTAAAAAATTTCCAACATAGCATGCTTGTCTTTTTTTAAATACTTTAAATAATTTTACATAACATTTCCTGACAGAAAATGAGATAACAGACATCACGATAAACATCCTACATAAAAAAAGATTATAAATGAAATTACTATTAATTTTTCCCAGCGTTTTCTGTAACAAAAAGTACAAATTGGGCTGTAATCGGTTATCGTGGGCCGTCCCTGGTGTCTGAATTCAGCTGTCTCCCTCAGTTGAAAATGCGGGCTGGTGGAATGAGTGAATCATCCAAATGGAAAAGGCAGAAGCGCTCTCCAAGG